TTTAAAAAAAAAAAAAAAAAATGGTGATCCAACTCTCCGCACGCCAGGCACCAAGCTTCTTGTGATGACAAACCCAGGAGTGCTGTGTAGCGTGTTGGGGGCAGTAAGGGCGCTAATAATTCCCTGCCATAGCAATGTGCAGTTTTGGTGTGCATGTAGGGGGGTGTGTGGGAGGGTGATCTTGAAATGAGTGAAAGAGCTGTGCTAGAAACATGCACCACTCGATAGATTCCCTGGGATATACGGCAAGTACATGCTGCCGAGGTCCATCTTGTGCTATGCACGCGGATAATGCGATAAACCATGCTGCGTCGGACTTGTGCGTAACTTGGTACCATGTTGTAGTAGCTAGGAGGAAGCAACTGTCTCTTACTTCAGCACCTGTTCCTACAGGGCCGTAGATGTGTTTGTTGTAAGCCAAACTGCACTCTGCAGGTTTGCAGTCTGTCATGCTTCGCTTTGAATGGCAGCGTAGCAGGCATCGGGGAAGTGCTCCGCTGTGGTTCAAGGGTGTACACCAACTCGCAGAGAACGGAGCCTTGTAACCAAACCATACTGTGTTAAAGAGCAGACTGTGTGGTGAGCTGAAATGGTTGAGACCAGCCTGATGCTGAGGGACTTGGAAACTTTCCCCATGCTTTCCCATCCATCCAGCCCCTCCTTGCTTTAAACTTCATCTGCGCTCCAGGCAGGACAGAGTGCAACTTGCATGCTCACTGCTGCATATCATAAGTGGGGACACTGGCTCCATCTGATGGGGAGGATCGTCTCTTCTCCCCCACCACCCCTTTTACTATTTTCACATTTTAAAAAAGCAACCGAAAATCCACCCTTTCCTGTGATTTTTTTTTTTTTTTTTTTTTTTTTAAATGAAACGCCACTAACTTATACAGATATATCTATATTAGTGGTGTTTCATTTTAATTACAGTAAGAATGTGGATACTGTATCTATATATTAGTGGCATTTCATTTTCATCACAGAAAACTGGATTTGGAGTTGCTTTTTTTTAAATCTGAAAATTGGGGACTTTTTTTTCTCTTTTAACCGGAGAGAACCAGGATCCCTGGTCATACATGTTAATTGGCCTGTTTTCTGAAGTTCTTACATTTTTAGCCCAAATAATGAATGACTCTTTCCTCGTGGTGACTGACTTGCCGTTGATTTCTGTCTCGGCAGTCTTCCTTGTGCCGCACAGCACAGGCCTGCCTCGTGCTTTTTAGCTTCGCAGACTCAGTGGAGGATTCCTCTAGGCAAGTAACCATCTAGCTTGGAGGTCGCAGACGGGCTTAGACATAATGTCAATGTGGATGTGGTGCTCACGGGAGCTGCTCTGTAATCCACAGGATGTGAGCCACTTCCATTCAGGACTAATGAAGGATTTTCATTGGCATCAAGGACGCTTGTACACTTCCTATTGAGGAAGTGTAATCTGTGTACTCCATTTTTGAGCCTTAACACTGAGCTGGGTGGAGGCAAGGGTATGCCAAGTCCTTGGTGTTCCTGCAAACACCAAGGACCAGGTTGTGGTGGATCGCAGAGGCAAAGGATGTCTCTGCTGCAGAGGCCTTTGACTTTGAGCAAATCCCTCTGCTTCTGTCTTTTGGGCTGTACAATGGAAGGTGATGGGAGAATCCAACCTGTGCAGGGTGTCAGGTGTGCTCCTTAGCTCCTGGCTGGGTAGCTTCTATTGTTTTCCAGACTTCAGTAGGTTTGCGTCTTGCCTTTGGAAAGGCCCTTCTCACCTCGTGACGGGTGATGTAACTGCGCTGACCTTGGAAAGTGATGTGTGCCGATAAGGCTTATCTTGTGTTACGCAAGCTCTGGCCAGGAGCTATTTTTGGTCTTTTTGGTTTGTGCCTGGTCTAAGCTGCTTGCCTTGGGGTTGTGGGGAAGGAAGTGGGCTAACTGCCAAACAGCAAAGGTGGTCAGGATCATAATTGGGAGGCAGATAAAGGTCTGACCGAGCTGTGGAAACGAGGCTTATTGCCTGTGGATGGCATGACTTGGATGTAGACGGGCTACACGGTGCAGTGGCTCCCGTACACTACTCCCCAGGGGCTGGGAGTGCTGTCCTGTGGTGTGCGGTGGTGCTTTTCTTGCAAAGGGATATCCTGATCTGGGAGAGTCCTTCAAGATGTTTGGGCCTAACTGCACTCCTGCTGTCCCCATTCGGGCTCCCAGGCGGTGTCTTTCTTCCTGCCCGAAATAGCTCAGCAGTGAAAAACAATTATGCGCTTCATGTTAGTGGTGAGAGAAGTTCTTGGAACTGCTGCTAAAATTTTCAGGTGACGTTGAAATGGCTCTGCTGGGTTGTGCATGTGTGAGGGCTACTTTGTGAGCAAAAATGTGGTTTGTCTGGATTTCCCCCACCTCAGCAGTAATCAGTGCCTCTGACAAAGAGCAATTTAACACCAGTCTTTTGAGCTATCATTTGAAGTGGGGCTCAACTTAAGGGGAGGAGAATTAATTATGAACTCCAATCTGGACTAACAGGGTGTGGATGTCATGACATGTTGCCAGTAAACTTTTTTTTTCCCCCCCCCTTACTACCTATTTTGTTCATCCTGCAAATGGAGCATCTGCTTGAGGGTGGACGGACGAAAGTCTCGAAACCTGTGCCGCTGCTGCTGCTGTTCTTGGAAACGACTTTGTAGGGAGGGAAGGAAAGATGGCATGTTCGGATGGTAGGGAGCCAGGCCGGGCCTGAAAAGTATTTATTTGCGGATCTGAGTCATCCTTAGGAAGCTTTTTAGTTGGGGGCAGACCTGTTGAAACCGGTTTGCTAGCCTTCCTGTAGTCATGCTGTCCGGGAGCTGGAAAGTGGGTGTGCATTAGGGGCAGGGTCTCGGCATAGCCTGATCTGTTGCGTTGTTCGAGCGGTGTTGGCTTCCTCCTAAGTGCTTCCAATCTCCTCCTTTCCTGCAGCTTTTTTTTTTGGCTCGTGATGCACTCAGGCATCATTCCTTCTAGGTTCACGGCCTGTTGCACCTCGGGGATGGCATTTCAGTTCTTCTTCCAGCACAGGAATCCATGGAGACTTGGTTTTTTCTCTGCATGACCCACCCCGCACCATGCACCTTTCTCTGGTCTCCTGTCGGAGAATCACCTTGTCCCCTACGGTTGCAGTAGTCCTCTGTCTCTGCCGTTCTGATTCACAGATGCGCTACCCTTCCTTTCTCCATCACAAACCCGTCTCCTGCCCTTTCTCTGTCCTTAGTTCGTAAGGGCCTTTGTGGGGGTGGGAATTTAATGCTTTCCCAGTTCATCCAGGTGTGAAATACACAAGTGCTCCTGTTTAGAAGGAGCGATCAGACCCCCAGCCTGCCCCTCGGAGACTAGAGCACCGTTTCTCAACTTGTGGGTTGTGACCCAAAAGTAAGTTGCAAGAATGTATAAAAGGGTCATGAACAAATTTAAAAAATGGGTTCTCCTTTTAAAGGAGTAAAACGGGGGAAGCTGGCTTTTTTCCTGGCAGGCTGGCAGAGCTCCAGCCTGCCAGGGGTGGCTTGGGGTCCCCAGTGCCCCACACACTGTGGCTGGGGCCTGGGGGTGGGGAGCAGCAGGTTGGGAATGGGGGGCACTGGGTATGGACTGGCCATCAACCTTTACAAATGGGTCCTAGTAGAAGAAAGGATGAGAACTGCTGGCATAGAGGATTTCAATGGAGGGATATTTAAGAAAAACAAACCTGAAACAAAACCCTTGCCAAGAGGAGAGTAGCACCATAGTGCTTTCACCGTCCGCTTGTTGGAAGAAGAGGCAGCAGTCTCAGAAATGTAGAGATCTCTGTGCTTGGGCTTCCCACTTTTTTCCAGAGCAAGTATACATCTCACTCTGTAAATTGGATAACCCCAAGAGTCTGGAAGTTGAGGAAAGTGGATTTCTCTGCACCTGTGTTTCTGCCCCCACTGCTGTGCCTGCAGGGGCACTTCCTGGTCTGGTGAAAGTCGCTGAGTGGAAAGGTCTTGCTAATGAAATAACTACATTTAAGAGAGGGGCAGGAATGGGTGTCCTCACTCCAGAAATGGAAAGGGTTCTGCAGTGCAAACAGTGACTAATCAGAGCTCTGGCAAGGGTGGCTCGAATGATGTTTGATTTCCGCGACGTCAGAGTGGCTGAAGTCCACTTGTCAGGTGAGCAGATAGCGTGAGCTGAGCTAATAGCCAGTTGATGCCTGTGAAACTGGAGGTAATAAACAGTGCATTTCAGGGTCACAATCATAGAAAATGAGGGTTGGAAAAGACCTTAGGAGATCATCTTCTAGTCCAACCCCCTGCTCAAAGCAGGACCAGTCCCAGCTAGATCATCCCAGCCAAAGCTTTGTCTAGCTGAGTTTTAAAAACCTCCAAGGATGGAGCGTCCACCACCTCTCAGGGTGACCCGTTCAGGTTCTTCCTAATATCCAACCTAAACTTCCCTTGCTGCCTCTTGAGCCCATTGCTCCTTGTTCTGTCGTCTGCCACCACTGAGAACAGCCCAGCTCCAGCCTCTTTTAAACCCCCCTGCAGGGAGTTGAAAGCTGGTATTAAATCCCCCCATAGTCTTCTCTTCTGCAGACTCAGTAGATCAGCTCCCTCAGCCTCCCCTCACCAGTTGTGTCCCAGCCCCCTCACCACTTCTGTTGTTCTCCACTGGACTCTCTCCAACTTGTCCACATCCTTTCTATAGTGAGGAGCCCAAAACTGGACCCGGGACTCCAGATGTGGCCTTGCTAATGCGGAATAGAGTGGAATAATTACTGCCTTTGATTGCTGGCAACGTTGTTAGCCTTCTTGGTAACAAGGGCGCACTGCTGACTCCAATTCACCTTATTGTCCACTGTCACCCGTAGGTCCTCTTTCTGCAGAGCTGATGCCTAGCTAGTCAGTTTGTAGTTTGTCCTGATTAATGGGATTTTTTCCATCCTAGTTGCAGGACTTTGCACGTGTCCTTGTTGAACCCCATGACACTTTCCTTTGGCCAAATCCTCCGATTTTTCTGTGCCACTCTGAATCCTACCCTTACCCTCCAGTGCATCTACCACACCCCACTGGAGCAGAGAGGAGGAATTTGGAGCAGAGAACAGGAGCAACTCAAAGTTAGCAAGTGCTCAAGATTGAATGCGTGTCCTCTGGAAAACCACAAGATCTGAAGAGTGAATCCTGCCAAGCAACCTGGCAATTTCCTGGTGATCTAGCTGGCAGTCCTAGGATCTTGTCTGACTCTTCCTTCCTGAATGCTACAAAACTGCTGTGTGCTACAGGACAAAAATTGGGGGAGAGAACGGACAGAGATTTTGATTCCTTTTCTATTTCCCTGCATTCAGGGGTCCCAGAGCACTGAGAGAGGTCTTTTCCCTCTTAGAAACTCTCAGCTCTGTAGACATGCCTGTTATCCCCTAAGCAAAAAATAGGCGCTGATCTCCCTTGACTCCGCTTACTTCCCCAATTATAGTTTCCCTCCCAGATTGAGACGCGCTGTCCATAGTCCCCGTCTGAGCAGAGCTCCAGCACACGGGAAGGGGCCTGGATTAGAGAGGGAGCTATGCAGTCCCCAGATGACCTCTTCCTAGCCAAAGCTCAAAACTGATATTTTTGCCTTCATCCTCCTTGACCTGCCAGCTCCCTCTGAAATGCCAGCCTGCTTCAACCTTAGGTGCCATGACTATTGTCTTCTACTTTTGGTCTCTTAAGGGATGAGGTCCTGGAGATAAGAACCTATTTACTCTGCCAGGCTGCGTGCTAATAGGGTGTTCCTGGTCCAGGACTTGGACCCAAAGACATTAAAGGTTTAAGTTGTGCAGGTTGCATAGCAAGCTGGTGGTCACTGCCGTGGCTCTATTTCTCTGTAGGTGCAGAGAGTTCACAGCTGTCTGCTGCAGTCTCAATACAGAAGTTACCAGCCTTTCTACCTCCACCCTGATGCTGCTGTCTTGGCTCAAGTATTCTTGGCAGTTTTTAGGCTTAAACAGTTGCTCTCTGTTTCCAGCATAAAGCCATGTCAGCAAGCGTGTTGCGGACACGGGATGCAGAAGGATCCAGGGTGGATGCTGCTACCTCGAGACCAGCTACTCCAGACCTGGAGTTCTACTGGGTTGATGGCAGTCATCGCTGCAAACGGTGCCCTCAAGGTATTGTGTTCCCCAGACCAGTTCTCTGCTCCGCTCTCCCTTGATCTTGGGGCACAACTCTATCCTTTCCTCTTGCCTGTCTGTTCCACCGCTCTCCGTGGAACGACCATACCCTTTCATTCCTGTCTCTCCCTCCTCTTCTCTTACTGTACCATTTGGGAGACTTCCCTTTCCAATCCCGCTCTCGCCCCTCCTTTGTCTGGCAGGAAACCACACATGGATGAGAGCTGGGGTAAGCACGTGTTATTACAGCGGGATGCTGTTTTGAAACCCCCATCTTGGGCTCATTGTCTGGTTGTACATGGGGAGTTGCAAAGTCTCAGGTTTTCCTTTTATTGGTGGTTTGTCACCTCTGAATTGAGTGAAAGCAGATGCCACTTCTAGCATGCAAACACCACCCTTTCCCTCTGGGCAGATGCTGTTTGCTGTGTCTCTCCATCTAATGTGCCATTTCTCTTCCCTCTTGCCTGCAGGTCACTACGTTAAGGAGCACTGTGTTAACTCTGACAAGCCTTCGACGTGCCTTCCGTGCAAAGAAGGCTTTGAATACATGGCCTACTCCAGTGAGTTCAAGACCTGCTTCTCTTGCCGTGTCTGCAGGGGAGGTAAGAAGGAAACTGAAACTAAGGGTTTTTGTCCGGCAGGGGTCAGTCTTCTACCACACTTCATTCACTGTAGTAGTGTAGGATGAACCATGGAGGGATTGTAAGCCCCTTTGGGGAAGGGACTGCATGTCAGCTTGGTACCAGTTGGGGTTGGGTCCTAGTTCCTGTTTGGGGCTACAAGGTGCTGCCTCAGTATAGTTAATAGAGGAGTCTCTCTCCCACTGGACAGACTAACTTTCTGGATGATGGGCAGATGAATGTGCCTTGTCTGCAACACCTGCTTACCATCACAGCAGGGTGGGTATTCGTTTTCTGGAAAGCTGTGTAGGCCTTAGCCCCTTGCTCTGGTGTGTGCAGGCACTAATGGTTTTTCATCTTGCTCCTACAGCAGCATGGCTCACTGCACTGGGACATTGAACCAGGGCTTGAACTTGAGACCGTCTTCTGCAGTGGAGCGTAGACTGTAGCTTAAGGAACTTGCTTGCTGGCTGGCAGCAGCTGGGCAGAGGCATTGTCTGCTTGTAACTTAAAGATCACGCTAACAGAAGTGCTGTCACTGCTGGGGTACAGGACTGTGGGAATGCCTGCATGCAGGGGATGGGTGACTCTGAAGCGAGTGAGTTAGTGTCTTCCTGTGAGTGCGTTGCAGTTTGGTGTGTTTGTTTTTTTGTTTAGCCTTAAGGGATCAAGCGTCTCAGTCCAAGCTGAGGTGAGACCCAGTAGTGCAGGAAAGGCCCCCCACAACTCTTCCCAGCCAGGCTTGTTCCACCTTGGTGGGGGTGAAGGGGTCTAACCAGGCATGTTCTCCTGTGTGGCAGACCAGGTGGAGGTGAGACCATGCACCAGGACCAGCAACAGGGAGTGTGCCTGCAAGAATGGCACGTACTGCACCCCAGATCAGCCCTGTGAAATGTGCCACAAGTGCCAAACCAGGTGAGAGCTACTTGTCATGCCGCATAGAGGGAAGAGGGGCTCGGGGCTGGAGCAGGACCTTTCCAGTCCTGACACACGTTCTAGTGCCTTCAGCTCTACTGTGGCAGTATGGTTATCCCATGCTGGCTGGTCCACCTGCCAAGTACTAATTCATTTCTGTCTGTTCCCTAGTTGTCCCAAAGGAGGAGAGGTGGTGAAATCTTGCACGCCATATAATGATATACAGTGCGGCCACTCCATCATGCCCCCTCCTGCACCAGGTAAGAGCAGAGGGCAATTGGGAAAAGGGGGTTAGGAGCAGAAGCCTTCAGGAGCAAGCATGGTAGCTTACTAGTTAACTCCTGGCTGACTTGAAAAGTAAAGGGAGAAGTTCAGCCCTGAATCCTAATCCGCAGCGGTAAGAGAAGTGAGAGAGGCCAGATTGTTGGATGAGAGGAGAATTGCGATTCTTGCATGGTGGGGGGCATTATCGGAGGAGGGAGGAGCTCTCCTCTTGATGCTTGCTTCCATCCAGAGCTCTTGGAGCATTCCCAGTTTGTTTCGTTCTTTTGCAGGCAATTCTGCGGGCTTGGCTGTTGGTATCGCTGTGCCGGTAATTCTAGTCGTCATAGCCCTGGTCGCGCTGGTGGTCTGGTGTTGCTACTCTTCAGGTAAGAGGTGGGCACAGGTATAGGTGTGAGCAAAGGGCAGAGTGGGGTGCATATGAAATAAGAAAGGCTGGAAGCGAAATTCTGGTGGTGGGAAATGGACTGCAAAGTCTCTGGTGGGAAGGAAGTTAGGATTTGTTGGCTGGGTAATGCAAAGCTTTCACCACTAGTTTCTGTGGTCAGTCTGCCAGTTTTCAAGTCAATCAGATGGTGCTTGGAGATCACGGAGAGCCCCAAATCTGCTTTAACCAATGTTTTAGCCTTAACGGTGCAATAGCTGGGCTGAACTTTTGCTCTTTCACACTGCTCTGGGTGCTAGGGGGACAGAAGGAGTGGCGCTTGTAAATCCCCACACCTAATACCCTGTTGTAAATAGTTGGCTGAAGCCTCCACTGGTTTAAATGAGTGCAGCTCCATTTGATTTCGTTGAGCCCTTGGACACTTGACACCAGTACTTTCCACTTCCTAAAAGCCACTGCTATATCCTGGGAACCTGTGTGCACTGACGAGGGTTGGTGTCAGTGGGTCATGTGCTCCTCTTGCACCCTGACAAAAGTCAGGGATGGCCCTGATGTCGTGAAGAAGACGACTTGGCCCACTGTTGCTGGTGTTTTGGGCAACTGCTCTAGACAGGATCCTCCCAGGTGGGACTTTGGGGAGGGTGGAAATGACTGAGTCCATCCTTTACTGCAGTCTGTTGCCCTTGTCTCTTCTGCCCAGAAAAGAGAAGCAAGGGGAAGACTGGAGGCTTGGCAGAATGGGGCCAGCCTTGTTGGGGTGAAATCTGCTAATGGGCCTTTCCTTCTCTTCCAGGTGACAAGGAGAAGTCTTCTGACTTAACGGTGAGGGTTGTGCTACTGTGCTTTCTGGGGCGAGGCGGGGTATAATTGCACCTTGGTTGTAAACGTGCAGGGATTGCTCTGCCTGGTTACCTTGACTGAGATGAAGGAAGCTACTTCAGGGTTTCCAAGAGCATTTTGGGAGTGTATGGGAGAGGAGCTCTAGTCTTGGCACCTACCTGTCAGTGAGAGGACTAGAGTTATTAGGCTCAGGGGACTGTACAGAAATGTGTGGACTTGCACAGTTGCTCATTTTCAGGTAATGTTGCGGCCAAGGCCTTTGGGTCTAAGCTAGCTCATGTCTGCATGGGAAGTGATACCAGGCGCATATGCTACAAGAGATGGATGGTCTGGTTTGATCTTTCGACAGGGCTGGAGCCTTGGCACCTAGAGAAACTTAGCAGGTTTAGAAACCTGGTTGTGGATTTGATTCTGGATTTGTAACTGGCTGTCTGATCCAAACTTCAGCCATCCTCCAAATGTGTGTAGACCAGAGCAAGGCTCTGGAGTTTGCTTGTTTTTTCAGGAGACCTTGAAATCTGCCTCTTCAGCACTAATGCTTTAATAGCCCCTGTTGTTCCTTATCCAGTGGAAGATTTCATAGACATTAGGGCTGGGAGGGACCTCATGAGAGCATTGGGTCCAGCCCGCCCCCCACCCTAGGAGCAAGAAGTCAGCTGGGGTCAGATCACCCCAGCAAGATAAGCTTACGCATCCAAGCACCACTTAAAGGTATCCAGCAAAGGTGCTTGCACCATTTTTGGGGGAGTCTTTTGGAGACTTGGACGGTAAAGAAGCCTAGAGCTCTCAACTTAATACTTCTGACTAGAAATGACTGGTGTTGTCTCTTCTCTTCAGTCCAAGCTCCTATCGCAGCTGATGAACAGCGCAAGGAGTCGAGGAACTCGGGACAACCACAGGAACCAAAAGATGGATAAGCTGCTAGTTCCACAGGAGCAGGCTGGTCAACCGGGCCCTATGAGACCAATGGCAGAGGCCAACTGCTCAGAGCTGCAGGTAACAAAATAGTGTGTGCACACCCACCACGCATGCTGATGCTCTTTTACTGAATGACTTGCACAATAGACTCCCTTTCCTAATTCTAGGGTTGA